CTAAATTGGAAAATCTAAAAGAAATGGACAATTTTCTGGATAGGCACCACATACCAAAGCTAAATCAAGACCACACAAACAATTTAAATAGACCAATAACCCCTAAGGAAATAGAAACAGTCATTAAAAGTCTCCTAAGCAAAAAAAGCCCAGGACCAGATGGTTTCAACACAGAATTCTACTAGATTTTCAAGAAGAGCTAATACCAATACTCTTCAAATTGTTCCACACAACAGAAACAGAAGGAATGTTACCAAACTCCTTTTATGAGGCAACAGTTACTCTGATTCCCAAACCACACAAAGAGGCAACAAAGAAAGAGAATTACAGACCAGTCTCCCTCATGAACATTGATGCAAAAATACTCAATAAAATATTGGCAAACTGACTCCAAGAACACATCAAAACAATTATCCACCATGATCAAATAGGCTTCATCCCAGAGATACAAGGATGGTTCAACATACGAAAATCTGTCAGTGTAATATACCATATAAACAAACTGAAAGAAAAAAAGCAAATGATCATCTCATTAGATGATGAAAAAGCCTTTGACAAAATCCGACACCCCTTCATGATAAAGGTGTTAGAGAGATCAGGAATACAAGGAACATACATAAACATAATAAAGACAATTTACAGCAAGCCAACAGCCAAAATCAAATTAAATAGAGAGAAACTCAAAGCGATTCCACTAAAATCAGGAATAAGACAAGACTGTCCACTGTCTCCATATCTATTCAATATAGTACTTGAAGTTCTAGGTAGAGCAATAAGACAACAAAGGAGATCAAGGAGATACAAACTGGAAAGGAAAAAGTCAAGCTTTTACTATTTGCAGATGATATGATAGTATACATAAGTGACCCCAAAAATTCTACCAGGAAACTCATACAGCTGATAAATACCTTCAGTAATTAGGAGGGATACAAGATTCACTCAAAAACATCAGTAGCTCTCCTATATACAAATGATAAACGGGCCAAGAAAGAAATCAGAGAAACATCACCCTTTACAACAGTCACAAATAATATAAAATACCTTGGGGTAACTCTAACTAAGTGAGTGAAAGACCCATATGACAAGAACTTAAAGTCTCTGAAGAAAGAAATTGAAGAAGATATCAGAAAATGGAATGATCTCCCATGCTCATGGATAGGTAGGATTAACATAGTAAAAATGGCAATCTTACCAAAAGCAAGCTACAGATTCAATGCAATCCCCATTAAATATCTGAACACAATTCTTCACAGACCTTGAAAGAACAACACTCAACCTAATATAGAAAAACAAAAAAATCCAGGATAGGTATAAGAATTCTGGCCGGGCGGTGGTGGCGCACGCCTTTAATCCCAGCACTCGGGAGGCAGAGCCAGGCGGATCTCTGTGAGTTCGAGGCCAGCCTGGTCTCCAAAGCGAGTTCCAGGAAAGGCGCAAAGCTACACAGAGAAACCCTGTCTCGAAAAAACCAAAAAAAAAAAAAAAAAAAAGAATTCTGTACAATAAAGCCACCTCTGGAGGCATCACCATCCCTGACCTCAAGCTCTACTATAGAGCTAGAATAATAAAAACAGCTTGCTATTGGCACAGAAACCAACATGTGGACCAATGGAATCAAATTGAAGACCCTGACATTAATTCACATGCCTATGAACACCTGATTTTTGACAAAGAAGCCAAAACTGTACAATGGAAAAAAGAAAGTATCTTCAACAAATGGTGCTGGCATAATTAGACATCAACATGTAGTAGATTGTAAATAGATCCATATCTATCGCCATGCATAAAACTCAAGTCCAAGTGGATCAAAGACGTCATTATAAAACCAGTTACACTGAACCTGAAAGAAGAGAAAGTAGGAAGTAGTCTTGAACACACTGGCACAGGAGATCACTTCCTAAATATAACACTAGTAGCTCAGACACTGAATAAAATGGACCTCCTGAAACTGAGAGGCTTCTGTAAGGCAAAGGACACAGTAAATAAAACAAAATGATAGCGTACAGATTGGGAACACCTTCACCAACTCCACATATGATAGACAGCTGATCTCCAAAATACATAAAGAACTTAAGAAACTAGACATCAAAATAACGAACAATCCAATTAAAAAATGGGCCACAGAGCTAAACAGAGAATGTTCAAAGGAAAAATCTCAAATGGCTGAAAGACATTTAATCAATTGCTCAAAATCCTTATTCATCAGGGAAATGCAAATCAAAACAATTCTGAGATACCATCTTACACCTGTCAGAATGGCTAAGATCAAAAACACTGAAGACAGCTTATGTTGGAGAGGATGTTGAGCAAGGGGACCACTATTCCACAGGTGGAGTGTAAACTTCTACAGCCACTTTGGAAATCAGTATGGTTGTTTCTAAAAAAATGGGGATTCAATCTTCCTCAAGACCCAGCTATACCACTCTTGGGCATATACCCAAGGAATGCTCAAGAATACCAGAAGGACACTTGCTCAACTATGTTCATAGCAGCATTATTTGTAATAGCTAGAACTTGGAAAAAACTTTGATGCCCTTCAACTGAAGAATGGTTAAAGAAAATGTGATACATATACACAATGGAGTACTACTCAGCAGAGAAAAACAATGACGTGTCATGAAATTTGCAGGCAAATGGATGGAACTAGAAAATATCATCCTGAGTGAGGTAACCCAGACTCAGAAAGATAAGAATGGTATGTACTCACTCATAAGTGGATACTAGATGTAAAGCAAAGGATAACCAGACTACAACCTACAACTCCAGAGAAGCTAGCTAACCAGGAAGACCCAAAGAGGATCACCCTGGGAAGGGGAAATAGATGAGATCTCCATGAGTAAACTGGAGATGAGGGGATGGCAATAGAGGGTAGGGGGTAGGGGATGAGAACATAAGGGAATAGGATGGTCAATATGGAACAGGAATATAGTTGGAAAGCAATGAAAGGGATACCATGATAGAGGGAGACATCATGGGGATAGAGAGAACTTCCTAGGGAAGTTCCCAGGAATCCCCAAGGATGACCCCAGCTTGGACTACTAGAAACAGTGGAGAGGGTGCCTGAACTGAACTGGCCTACCCCAGTGACCAGATAGGTGAATATCCTAACTGTCATCACAGAGCTTTACTCTAGTGACTGATGGAAGCAGATGCAGAGATCCACAGCCAAACACCAGGCAGAGCTCCAGGAGTCCAGTTAAAGAGAGAGAAGAGGGATTTTATGAGCAAGTGCATCAACATCATGATGAGGAAACCTGCAGAGACAACCAAAGTGGGAACTCATGAAAGCTGGATCAATGGCTGTGGAGCCTGCATGGGACTGGGCTAGGCCTTTTGTATGGTGAGACAGTTGTGTAGTCTGATCTGCTTGGAAGGCCCCCTGGCAGTAGGATCAGAATCCATCCCTGGAGCATGAGGGGGTTTTTTGGAGCTCACTACCTATGATGGGACACCTCATGCAGCCTTGAGGCAGGGGGAGGGGCTTGTACTTGCCTCTACTGGATGTGCCTCCCCATGGGAGGCCTTGCCTTCTTTTGGGGAGGAGTGAGGGGTGGGTTGGGAGGGAGAGGTTAGGTAGGGGTGGGAGAAGGGAAGAGGGGAATCTTTGATTGGTGTATAAAATGAATGGAAAATTTCCTTAATAAAAAAATAAATAAAAATTAAGTTTAAAATATCATATTCTCACTTTTTCATAGGTTAAAACTTTTCAGATATATAAAACGAGAAAAAAAGCAAGCAACAAAGATGATGGACTTACATACACTTCACCTGTCTTTCCCCTGCATCACTGCCTAGACAGAACCATGGGACAAGATGCTCTGGACAAGATGCTGTAGACAATGAGCTTGAAGCAGTTGAGGAACCTACACCATATACTGCCACCTACCAGTATCAAATTGATTAATCAGTTCTCCTCTAGAACTTCTGCATCTCTCATGATGGCTGACTAGTACTAGAGATGGTCATTTAATCTATCCCTACACTGCTGCACTGGGGATCAAGTTTACAACATATAGACCTTGTTGGACATCTGAACTATATGAAAATCACGGCATATTCTAAATAAAGTGAGCAAAATTTTGGCACGTTTGGAACCCTCCTTGCCTTATTCCAGTCTGCCTCTCATCTTAAAACCATAAAGCAAGATTGAAATATAAGTTCAAGGGACTGGAGAGATGGCTCAGTGGTTAAGGAATTTAAGTACAGCCGGGCGGTGGTGGCGCATGCCTTTAATCCCAGCACTCGGGAGGCAGAGCCAGGCGGATCTCTGTGAGTTCGAGGCCAGCCTGGGCTACCAAGTGAGTTCCAGGAAAGGCGCAAAGCTACACAGAGAAACCCTGTCTCGAAAAAAAACCAAAAAAAAAAAAAAAAAAAAAAAAGAAAAAAAGAAATTTAAGTACAAGTTTGTGGACACATCTAAAAAATGCTCCATATGAGTAGCAAACTAACACTGTGCACATACAAAATGGAAGAACGGTGCTATAGACAAAATCCTATGTGGAGGTATACCTTATGCAACGCAGAGTGGAAATTCAGCACAAGACTCCTTCTAGCTCATGTACACTAACAGAGATGCTGAACACTCATGTTAACCTCTTCAAGATCATGATTCTAGCCAAGACAGTGATATGAGAACAACAATTTACTAGAAGCTTCTGAGAAAATTTTTCCTTGATAAGATGGATGGCTGTTCTTTCCTCTCATTCTCGCACCATGAGCATGGATGTGATGTTTCTATGCACTAAGAGAGCTATGCTGGAATGATGATGGAAATGGACTAAGAACTTCAGCCCTGGTATCAGTGGGAAGGAAAACTAACATCAATAGCCACCATTATCACACCCATTTACTAGAAAAGAATAAATGCCTTATTTGCTCTAGGCTTTGTATCCAGTTATTTATAGCTGAAAATATTCCCAATAAAACTTACACAAAGAACCTTAGATGTTTTGCATTTTCAATGGTGTAGCCATCTCCTTTATCTAAAGCAGCAGACTCACCTCATTCTTCCACAGGTGATACTGCAGTGCAAATGCCGTAAAGTCTCTTGGAACACAGAAAAACCTGCAGTCTGAAGCGGAGCTTTGAGAAGTATTTTTCACTTGTTCCAAGTTTTTATTAATCAAGTCCAGAATCCAAGGGTCAATAAGGAACACTGGCACATTTTGGCTGGACGTCAGCATAACAAATTTCTGAACTGCACGCTGTTTGAGAAGAAAAGGATCTCGTTGAAACCACCAAGTCAATAGAATTGTTTTCCTAGTACTGGGAACTGAATCGAGGACCTCACACATGCAAGGTAAGTGCTCTGTCATGAGCTCTATCCCCAATCCCTTCTGTAGTTTTCATTTTGAGAGAAGATCTCATTAGGTCACCCAGGCAGGGCTTGACCTTGCATTCCTCCTGCCTAATATTCCCTAGTAGGTGAGATTTAAAGGCCTGGGCCACTAGGCCTAGCTCATCACAACTTACTTTGTTAAATTTTTGTTCAATTAATTGTCTAAGAACTTACAGAGTATTTACCATGCGTATCACTGCACTAGGAATAAGCAAATGAATAACACACATGGTTCTGTCCCCAAGAAGTGCACAGTCTACTGAGGAAGATAACAAGTCGTTATAGTTCAAAGTGAAATACGCTACAACACAATGCAAACAACCTTATGCAAAAGTAGGAAGCCAAAAATGGTCAGCTATGGTGATGAATGCCTGTAACTTCACCACTCTCAGAGGGACAGATCAGAGACGACCACGAAGTGTGAGGCAAGCCAGGTATGCACAGAAAGTTCCAGGCCAACCAAAGCTACACCAGTGAGACACTGTCTCAAAATAACAGCATAAACAAAACAAAACCAAGAAGCAAAAATAAATAAATAAATAAAATCAAAGTATGCACAAGAACTATCTGCTCATTTCCCACAACACAGGCTATCATGTATCATGGCTATAATTTTGGTTTAATTAGTAAACCAGCACTATCTTTTAATATTTAAAACTGTTGTTGATACAGGGTCTCAAGTAGGCAGGCTGGCGTTGACCAGTGTCTGTAGCTGAGGATGACTTTGAGTTCCTGGTCCCCCGTGCTACCTACCATGTCTGGTTTACACAGTGCTGGAGATTGATCCCAGGGCCTCCTGCAGGCTATGCACACACTACCAACTGAGCCTCATCTCGGCTCTGTCCTCTTGGCATTGTTTTTCATTTTTAATTAGGTAGAAAAACAGTAAGAAAATATATTTTTTAAAAAATGGAGGTTTTGCAATTTTACAAAACAAAAAAATCTAATATATATATTACATTATCTTTTTCACTCATCTTACAAAGAAAACATTGAGATTTTTATTCCTGATTATTAATTTGCCTTCATATTTGTAGATCAATTCTAATTCATATTGGGAAAGCATTATAGTTCAGTGGACAAGAATTCTAGAGATGGAAAGTTAAAATCTAGATTCAGATGTTTACTAACCAACTAACCTTAAGCTCCCTGACTAGCTAAACTGAAAACAACAGACATGCTGACTTTTTAAGGTTCCAATAAAGACAAAACGAGATATTCCATGTAAAGCACTAGGTATAGGGTCTATTCATGTCCAAGATCATAATTGTCATTGACATCATTCAACTAATACCTGAGGAGTATATCAATGAATGTACTAAAGATAACACAAACACTGTAATTGAGATGTCTTGTTTATAGTACATACCCATTGTGTGCTATCAAATCCAATTCGGTTTCCCTTGGACTTTGATGAACCAGTTCCGTTCTAGTAGAGAACAAAACAATATTTTGGTAAATTTGCAGCCCAGCACACAATGTCCAAATGCTTATTTCATACTCAGAACCAAAAGATCATACAATTTTATAATACAATAACCCAAGGTATAAAACAGTGACACAGTACAGTAAGTTGCTGAAATTATTCAATATTATAGCCAGCATTTCTGAACCAATGAATGCCCATCAAGGAAAAGCATCTGCACACACACATTCCTATGTCTGTCTGTGTCCCCCTCCTTCCTCATCCGCCTCAATCCTTCTCTCTGTCCTGCCTCAGTCTCCCAAGTCCTGAGACTACCACATGAACCAGCTGGTTCTCTGCTATCTCTATGAAATTAGGGTTTGTCTATTTAGTCCCATATTCCTAACTTCATCACCATATAGTGAATTAGTGATAAGATGGAAAATGAGGTTTAAAAAGTATAATGAACAAATCTCAAGTGTCAGGTTCTGTTTTATACTTCCAAAAACAAAAGTCTCCCTCCCAAATACTCCCTCATAACAACACTGCAACGCAAAGTCATTATTTCTAGTAGAGAGATGGTCCCAATACCCACACTTTTCATCATGTACACTGTTATTCAAATGTTCTAGGTTCCTTATAAGTTAATAGTACTTTTTAAAGTCCAGGTTCAGAAAGTCAGAAGGAAGAAAGCAATATTATCAGTATTTAATGATACACCTCCAAATAGTTTGAAACTAAATAGGAGAAAGAATGTTGGATGGTCTAGAGATAAGAAGAGTGTTTCAAGTTCAGAGAAGTTTGACAGCTCCTTACGCTTTCAATGATTTTCTACCTATGAAGTATAAATAACTGAGAGGAAGCTGACGGACAATTAGAATCGCCTCATCCTACAAACACAATGTATTCAACATTCCTAAAAACAAGGCTCGTCATCTTGTTAAACTGCACACTCAACGCCAGGTGCCAACGCCAAGCTGTCTTTGTATTACCATGTCTGGCCTAGTGCTCAGTTAAATAAATGTTAGTAAGAAATTGTTAGTTGGAGGAGAAAGGAAGGAGGAAGAGTAATTAAGGAAGAGCCTGACTCAGTCTCTCACAAGATCGGCATTGTAGACAGTACAATTTAATACAAATGGACATGTGAGAGAAACAAACAACAGAAAAATAAAAACGCAGGGAACTTTGTAATCTTCAATCCTGACAAGCTATGGAAACTGTAGACAGTCATTTGATTTTCACTACAACCCTACATTAGGAGAGGATCCTGAATTTTTAAGCAATTGAATTGGTTGAGTTTGTAGAAAGTACATTTCTAGTGAGCTTGTAGATTATTTATAGTAGCTTTAATGGAATTAAGATCATATATCATAAATTCTACCGTTTTAAAGTGTAAAGATAACTGTAAAGTTAAATATATGTATGTTGGAACACAGTCCAAGAATGGAGTCTGCGAAGGGAATTCTGAGTGCTTGTGAAATAACTCCAAGAAAACAAGACAAGAGTCTCGTGACCTCAGTTTCTTCAAAACACAAAATTATTCTTGAAATGTGTTTTCATGCTCCTCCCAGGTGTAGCAGATAGGAGTGAGTTTACTTCAGCTGTTGTTATTGATGACCTTCTAGGAAGAAACATGTTTTTGCCATGTGTGGCTTTTCCTTGGGATTATACACTTTACTTAGGTGATTCTTCTCAACTCTCAGAGTATAAATTGTCTGATGCTCTGAATAAAGCTGTCTACCACATGAGATATAATGTGGCAGACTTTGATGTGCTATCAAAATTACCTATCAGTAACTTTATTTAACTGATACTAATTTGTAGAATAATAATTTTTATTTGTCAGAAAATGTAAATAGGTTAAATATTATTGAAACATTACTTATGATTTAATTGTATAATTATAAAAACATTTCATTGCAATTTTGAACTGCCTGCTACATCCCACAAAGATGAGAACCCCTGTGAGAAATGCTTATGTAAAGGTTCAACATTATTAATTGAATATACTGCAATGTAAATGTTAAGAAAACACAAAGCCACAATGATATCTAATAAGAAAAAACAGAATTACCTTTGGTGACAAACAGTGCTTATAGTAGTACAGCTGAAACAGCAGAAATGCAGAACTTGTCAGTGTTAAAAGGGCCAAGATTACGTTCTTATTGATTCTACTCATTGGTCTGTGGAGTTTTTTCAGATGTTCTCAACAGTAACCCAGCTGTTTTCATCTTCTTCATGAAATAGGAAGATAATCTTGTTTTCTGTGAACAAAGAGATACGTTTGAAAAGAAAAAAAGGTGAATTTGGAAAAAAAAAAAAGGAAAATTAAAATTAACTTTAATAATCACAGACAGCACACACACAAAAAAGTTATTTAGGGAAGAATGGCAGTACATGGTTACACGGCTAGCATTTGGTATATTGAGGCAGTGGGTTAGCAAGTACAAGGCTAGCCTGGGCTACACAGTGATCTAGACCAGCTTGAGTTACATAGAAAGACCATTTCTTGAACAAAACAAAACAAAAAAACATAAAAAGAAAAACTTGAAGAGAAAGAAAGCTAAGAAAAAGTCATCTGCAGTTCTACAGAACACTTTGACTAAGAGGAATGCAGGGAAAGGCTTCTCCAATGTTTTTGACGAACAGATGTGACCTGGAACCTCTGGATCTCAGAATGTATGTCTGACAAGTCCAAAGGTGATATCACTTCTGACCATACTGAGAACTACTTCCACGGGAAAGAAATGAGAAAGTTTTTAGTCAAGGAGGACAGTATGTTTCTTTGTAAACTGTGTGTGTGTGTGTGTGTGTGTGTGTGTGTGTGTGTGTGTGTGTGTGTGTGTGTGTGTTCCTGGTATTTGCAAGGGTAAAGAACACCTTAGTAAACATTTTGGTCTTTCGCCCTTAGTATCTCCTCTGATTATTTCTTTAGAGTAAGAAATTTAGTATGTATATACTTCCTACCTCCTCTCCAATACATGATTTGGATTAACTATTTTTTAAATGTTCTATAAAGTTTAGCTGTATTTTTTCAAGAATGGTAATACTTCTTTTATTTAATAATGTAAGGTTTCTGTCTTGTGTTTTCAGGTTATAACGAGAAACTGGCGAACTATGCTACCTCTGTCTTCTTTCCTTTTCCTATTTATTTCTGCTTGGTTATTTCATTCTGTACTATAACTATGTTATTTTACTCTTATTGATACAGTGTTCCACAATGACCCTATATACTCTCAGCACCATCAGCCTCTCTGCAGCTTATAAAATAGAACAGAAAGGTACTACTTACTTTCAGTGCTTACATTGTTTAAAAACAGATGTCAGTAGAGTTTGGCTGTGAGGTCACACTTTATTTCCCCTGACAAGTTACAGAATTTATCACTGCCCTGAATGCTAAATATTCTTGATTATCATTCAGTTACACAGCATCACCTACAGGGAATCTGATTTGTTTTCATGGGATGCACGGTGGAAGCACACATATTCCCTATCTTGTTAACATAGACTATATAATGATAGTGATGAGTATATATTCTTTTTTCCTTGGTCTTTGTGTATTCTTTCAACTTATAAAGATTTCTGTGTAGAACACTTCTGGAGTCATTTAAATATTTTTGTTGCAACATTGGATCTCTATTTCCAGAACTACAGTAAGTACATCTCCTTTCTTTCCGATTTCAGTTTGTTCAACTTCCAAAGCATGTCATCAAGCCACCTCACTGAGGCTTCAATGCTGACTTTCCATTCTAATGTCTGTTATTCCTCCTTGTGCGTCTTTTCTTCCTTAGCTCTGACAGACTGCTCTCTTATAATTAACTCCTAGCTCTTGAGACAATGAACACTGTCTTTATTTTTTGCAGGGCTATTAACTGAACTCAAGGCTTCTATCCAGGACTGGCAAATTACCACCAAGGTACAGCCAACACTGTCATTTTAGAGATTTTTAAAAATGATTGTTGTATAAGTACATTCATGGGTATGTTCACATGTGTGCAGGTGCACGAAAAGGACAGAGGTGGTCAATACCCCTGGAGCTGGAGTTACAAGGGTTTATTGTGAGTCACCTGACATAGGTACTAGGAAACAAACTCAGGTCCCTTGGAAGAACAGTATATGTCTTAACCAGAGTCTTCTGTCTTTCATTTTAAAAGTTTAACTATTTCATAAACCCCACACCACCTTAGGCCTGCATAATATCATTATGGGTTGTTACTTGTTTTATGGTTTATTTTCTTCTTCTTGTAGCATTTTTCATGGACCATGCTCATTTCCTTTTAATTACTTACCTTTGAATGGCCTGAGCACCACAAGACCAGTTATTCATAAGAATACTGGAGTAGGAGGGAACAGCATTATATTCTAGACTAGATGGAAGTTCTTTCTGACAGAATAGTTTATACATGTGTGTATGTGAGAAAAATGGAGAATAATTATTAGATGTTAGAAAAGTTAAAACATTACTCCTTCATGAAAAACAGGTACCAAAGAGTTTCTGGCAATCTCTTCTTCCGTTTTGCTGTTGTAAGGATAGTGCACTTGTGTATACCTTATTTGCTTTTCTTCTTGCTAGTTCATGCTGCCAAACATCTATGGATGCTCCTATGCCTTCCCTATATGTTCTGACTTAGTGTAAACAGAAGAGCCATTCTCTATTCTGTCATTTTGGAGACCTCTTTCTACAAGGATCTTCTTTTTACATGTGGCCACCATTCTGCAAATATTTCAGTTTGGCGTTATAACACTATTTGTCTCAGGGAAGCTATATTGTGTTGTTTGAGGGTAACTTCAGACAGAATAGAATACAAATATTTTTACTCTGCCATTTTAAATCCTAAGTTGTGGTGTGGAGCTTTAAAACAATCTAAAAGAACTGACAAAGCTGAAGCCACATAAAATAAGCACTGTAAGAAATCAAATAAGATCAACTACTCAAGAGAAGGACAACAACGATGAGAATTACCTACATCATCTGTAGATAATGTATCAAGGTGATGGGATAAATCATGATTTTCTCTATTAAACTGTGAAAATTAGCAGCATCCACCAACACTGATGGTGGTCCTAGTGTCTGCTGTCAGCTAAAACTTGTTACAATGGTTTCTTCAGAGGTGGTCATGGATAACAATTATTTCTCACTCTCCAGATTTAGCTATTCCTCATACATGTATTAAATAGCACACCAGTGTAGTGCACGCTGCTTCCTGGTGAAATTTAAGCTGGCATGCAAACTACCATTGTTAAGCCTCTCTAAGCTCAATTATTCTAAAGTCCAACTTAATATACTGTTGTTTTGGGGGATCTATCGCTATTTTACAACTAATACAAAATTAATTCATTAATAACATAGAAACCACTTAAAGAAAGCAATGGGACAGTTTCAAAAAGAGGTATCTCAGACAACATCACTAGCTCTGGCTTCTTCAATGGCAGAGGTCCCAATCAAGATAATATTAGTGTACCTATTTCTTAGTTGTGACATTTTAGCCACCATTGTAAAAACAGTTAAAAAGGATGATACATTTCTTACTTTACACATGTGTAAAGAAGATACTGAATCATGTGTAATGGAAAATATCATAAAGCTAATAGAATAAGCAGAAAAGGGAAAACAGATGGAAAATATCTGCAGAAAAAATAAAATAGAGACACTCACAGAAGAGATTTAAGCAGGCTATGTACCCTGAAATTCTAATGTAAAGAGGCTGCTTTAACTATGATATATTACAGTGTAAAATTATTTTTTTCATTTGCAAACAGGATTATTCAGTTTGTCTGGTTTTGCTCTATGCTTCAATGAAAATGTTTACAGTTTGAAAAGAAGACATATTTCAGTGATGTAACCTTTAAACTAATCTTATTTTGGAATGACTAAGATGACTCAGTGGGAAATGTCTGGTTTGCAAGGGTAGTAACCTTATCTTGATCACCATATGAATATGAAACAAAGTAGACCCATTAAATTGTCTGTCTCAACCTATCTGTCATGGCCTAAAAACCCCAAACCATATTACACACACACACACACACACACACACACACACACACACACACACACACACACTAGAAATTAAAAAAAAATTCATTGCCATTATATTATCTGGCATCTTTGGATAATTCCCTTAGAAGGCAGTACTTCAAGTTGAAGGGCCAAATGAATAACTGATGGGAGGAAGATGATGCACTGAACTTCAAACAATACATACATATCTATAGCATATCAAGTTGTATTGCGAAATATACAGTTGATTGCTGATAGTTTTACCTCATTACATCTCTTCCAGAGAGATGAAAGTGCCGCTTTGGATATACACATGAGGTATGTAATGTTTCTTATACTCTTCCCTGTTTAGTAATTTAACATTATCATTTTTAAAACATGTTGACAAAACAGTAAGCCTTGGGGATACATGATCTACCCTTGGACTTCTACTCAGGAGACTGACACATGAGGATCATGAGTTCAATGTATTCCAGACTAATTACTGACATCCAAACTAGGCTGGATAACAAACAACATCTCAATGGAATTTTTAAAAAGATGAAAAAGAAAACCAACAAAAATCCACCACTCTTTCACAGATACCTTTACTTGAAAAGTATGATCAACATTGCCTGATGTTTAAATGAACAATGGACTACTTGGATCATGGGCATCTGATTCTATGCATTACAACAGAAAAATATCTATCTCGAAGTGAAAACGCAACCAAAGATGAACAATGGCCACAGGAGGTATATAAGGATCACAAATTGGACTTGAAATAATCGATTTTCCAGAGATATAGCACTTTAATAACTACCTCAAATACTACAAAATAGAAACCACAACGCACTGATCTCCACCATCAGTCTTTAGTGAACATTGTATGTAATTTTCTTCCTTCAAGGCTATGAAGAAAAAAATATGAAATAATTTTTTTTTCTTGAACCTGAAGACAACTAGGATGAGTAAGTTCTTTACAAAATCATTTATACATGAATAGGAATTCCTCTTGTATGAGTTTTTCCCTATTTTTTTGGCATCAAGATGATATTAAAAGATTTTAAAATATTTAAAGGACTAGAGACATGGCTGAGTAACTAAGACAAGTTCATTCCCAGGACTAAAGTCAGGTTTTTGACAGCTTCCCATAATCCATGCTACAAGAAGCTCCAAGGGTCTAACCTTCTTGGGTACCAGAATGCACATGCATATAACTACACAAAGACACACTGACATCACAAAATTAAAATCTTAAACCAATTTTCCCTCAAGAATGCTTTTCTCTTGAAAGCATTCATTCTTGTAACATAAGTCTTGAGACATTTAAAGGCTTATAGAGCTTTTTTTCATCATGAAGTGGTTCATATAACAAAGCTAGCATGTAGGCTTCAAGTCAGAGAAATCAATCCTTCTCACTTGGTGGCATCATTTCAGAAGATTTCGGAAATGCTGCTCTGCTTAGGAAATATGTCACTAGGGGTGGGTCTGAGAGTTTTCATCCATACACCATTTCCAGTTCCTACTCTCCGCTTCATGGTGCAGGTTGAGGATATAAGTTCTTAGCTTCTTGCTTTAGCTGCCACGTCTGACAATTGTTGCCATGCCACATTCAAAGTGATCAGTATCTCTCAGGAACCAAGAGCCAAATTAAATTCTTTCATAAGTTGACTTGGGAATTATGTTTTACTACAGAAACAGAAAATGCACTAATGCATATCCATAAAGTTTTATCTATGGATTTCTTCTTTCCTGTGATTGAGAGAGGTAAGCAATCTAAAACTTACTTTCTAATTTAAATTAATAGGCCTATTGTCTATGTGAGTTTGCAGGTACAAACAAAATTAAGAGAGATATCATAATGACTGAACAGATAGTTGACACTTGCCAGAATGTACATCGGTTGGCCAATGATCTTACAAAATCCTTTATAGTCAGATTTCATTTGGTATTTCATTTTTTTCAGATTCCCAGAGATTAATGTGATATGCATAGGTTTTAACAGCCCAATTAGACACTAAAAGTTTTACTTGAGTATAAAAACTAACATGAATTTCAAACCTTTGCCACATTGACTACATTTATAGGGTTTCTCAGCAGTATGATTTTTTTCTTATGGTTTTGAAGACTACTGATATTTGCAAAGGCTTTACCACACTAACTACATTCGTAGGGTTTCATCCAGCATGTCTTCTGTTATGTATTTAGAGACTACTTTGATATGCAAAGGCTTTACCACACTAATTTCATTCATAGGGTTTCTATCCAATATGGTTTTTTTATGTCTCTGTAGACTCCTCAGACATGCAAAGGCTTTACCACATTGATTACATTCATAAGGTTTCTCTTGAGTATGTGTTCTGTTATGAGTTTGAAGATGATCATGTTTTTAAAAGGCTTTATCACATTGATTACATTTGTAGGGTTTGTCTCCAGTGTGTGTTCTTTTATGCTTTTGTAGACTACTGTATTTTGAAAAGGCTTTATCACATTGTTTACATTTGTATGGTTTCTCTCCAGTATGTGTTCTTTTATGTTCTTGGAGACTACTGTAATGTGCAAAGGCTTTACCACACTGATTACATTCATAAGGTTTCTCTCCAGTATGAGTTCTTCTATGTGTTTGGAGACTCTTTTGACATACAAAGGCTTTACCACACTCATTACATTCATAGGGCTTCTCTCCAGTATGTGCTCTTTTATGTTCTTGGAGACTACTGTGGTATGCAAAGGTTTTACCACATTGATTACACTCATAAGGTTTCTCTCCAGTATGTGATCTTTTATGAGTTCGAAGATTATCGTGTTTAGAAAAGGCTTTATCACATTGATTACATTTGTAAGGTTTCTCTCCAGTATGTGTTCGTTTATGTACTTGGAGATAACTATACTGTGGAAAGGCTTTATCACACTGATTACATTTGTATGGTTTCTCTCCAGTATGTATTTTTTTATGTACTTGAAGACTACTGTGATATACAAAGGCTTTACCACATTGATTACATTCATAAGGTTTCTCTCCAGTATGAGTTCTTTCATGTGTTTGGAGACTCTTTTGACATACAAAGGCTTTACCACACTCATTACATTCATAGGGTTTCTCTCCAGAATGTTTTCTTTTATGTGATTGGAGACTCTTTTGAGATACAAAGGCTTTAGTGCACTCATTACATTCATAGGGTTTCTCTCCAGTATGTTTTCTTTTATGTATTTGGAGACTCTTTTGATGTGCAAAGGCTTTATCACACTGACTACATTCATAGGGTTTTTCTCCAGTATGTGTTCTTTTATGAGTTCGAAGATTATCATGTTTAGAAAAGGCTTTATCACATTCATTACATTTATAAGGTTTCTCTCCAGTATGTGTTTTTTTATGTATTTCAAGTTTACTGTGTTGTGAAAAGGCTTTATCACATTGATCACATTGGTAAGGTTTCTCACCAGTATGTATTCTTTCATGTATTCGGAAATGACTGTAATATGCAAAGGCCTTATCACATTGATTACATTCATAGGGTTTCTCTCCAGTATGTCTTCTTTTATGTATTTGAAGATGATTGTGATATGCAAATTGAGTGTTTTCAGAGAGTTTCTCTCCAGTCTGATTTCTTTCATTCTTGCCATGTCTTGTAGAACTTTCATAATTTTGTTGACTATTATGATCTTCCCAACTGTAGCCTATAGCAGAGAGGTTCCCGTAGGTCTCCAGCATCACATCTTTGTATAGATTCTTCTGGGAAGAATCCAGCAAAGCCCATTCTTCCTCACTAAAGTCCACATGTACATCGTCATAGGTCACTGCATTCATTTTGTGGTCTCAAGGGGCAATCCTGTCTTCATTGTCACAGCTTTATGCAATGAACTCTTAGGATCTCCTCACTGGGGTTCTGACTCATGTCCTGGCTTCCTAGCTTGAACATGCTGTCTTCTCAGCTCCCTGCAGCAGCACTTGCACAGTACACAAACCCAATGGTACCAGATCCTCTTCAATGCCAAGCCTGAAACCGAAAATTATTCTTAAATGGCATGGGAAAAGGACAAAATTAGTACAAAACTAGTACATCAACTGAGATCTATGCAATGGAGAAGAAAACAGCTAAGTGGTTCTAGGCATCAGAGCTATCAGTCTTCCTGTCTCTAGCCTAGAGTGTCATTTTAGGTAACAGAACACACATTCTTTTAGTTTTCATTTCATCTTTTATTATCAATTTGACTATACATCACAACAGGAACAAGGTTGAAAAAAAGTGGTCAAAGGAACCAAACACACTTGTGATGGAAACATGTACAAAGTAAGGTTCAGATTGTTTTCACATTCTTTCTGTAGCCAAGAGCACTACATAGTCTTTCAGTGTCACAGCTGGCATTCAAATACACCCCTAACTGTAAAGCAAATAGGAAGTCAAACTAAAAAAAAAAAAAGAGAGAGTAGTGCAGTTCAGGAAATGTGTGGTTAGGAGCCTAGGTAGCAGAATGGGAGGCATGAAAAGAAAATGAAATCAAAGAGGCACTCAGAAGCTGATGCTCAATTAGAAGCTTCACTCCAGTTGACTAGAGTTCATAGTGCTGAAAGGTATGACACATACTACTGGAGAAGGAAAGCAATCATCAATCTCACCTAGCTGTGAACCCTGTGAGCTATAACAGCAACCTGTCTGCACGATATACCCCCTGACTGTGCAATAGTGGCACCAATGTTACAGGCGCAACCAACCACCTTTTACTTGGATTTAAGGCCAGCTCTACAAGATGGAACCTATACCTGACACACTAATAAGGCCAAAAACCTCAGACTAGGTAAGTCATAGGCCCGAAGTGAAACCCTACTATAATTACCCTGCCAAGTGAACATAGACATAAAATGATTCCTTACTGCATACTGTTATATTCATAGAGTATCGCATTGCTGAGCACTCATTAGAAAGATTTTTTGCAGTAGATAATAATTAATACAGACACTCACAACTGGATAACATTCAGAAAGTGAGAGTCTATGGAGCACTAAGTCTTAAAGGGAAAGCCCATTAAAGCCCTCCCCTCAAGGCTCAGGGATATGGATATATATATATATATATATACATACTTTCTCATATATATGAGAAAGTAAAAAGACTGTAAAAGTCAGAAGTGATGAACAAATCCAAGGAAATAGCATTTTTCAGACGCAACAGGGCTAATGACATTTGAACTCACAGAGACTGTGACATCATGCACAAGACCTGTACTATTTCGAGTCAGACAAAAATTCCAGCACAGAAACAGGGAAGTGGGCATAAAGTCTCACCTCTAACCAAGAAGGTGTGTGTGTAACCATTAACTTCTGGGAGGGAGAAAACCCATTTTCTTCAAAGGAGTGACAGAATATATAAAACACACCACAGGACAAGCCATATGCTCATGAATAGTTAGTTGGTCAACACAAAATGGACTCCAAGTAATTTTTTGTTTTGTTTCGATTTTTAACATAAAGAACCTGAAGTTGAGTGGGTATCTGGGAGCAGCTGGGGGAGAAGAATATATGACTAAAATATATTGCACAAAAATTTTTTTAAATAAAAAAGAGGAAGTCTAATACAGCCTCATGGTACAGGCCTATAATACCAGCTACTCTGGAGGAGACAGGATGATGGTTAAGTTCAAGGATTGCCTGTGATACAGACTTCCTGGCCAGTCTAGGAAACTTAGCGAGACTATCTAAATATAAAAACAAAGAGCTAGGAATGTAGCTCAGCAGTAGAGTGCTTGCATACACAAGGCCCTAGATTCAATCCGAGGACTGAAAATCATAATGATCAAAATTGATCTTTATCTATTTACTATTCATTCACTTCTTAAACCTTTCCAAAATAATCTTTACCTCACCATGTTGCCACTTAGAAGGTGAAAGGCAAAATAATGCAGTCTTTCCATGTGATTATCCAGAAAAATCATAAGCACACAGTGACTCCTTTCTGAATAAGCTATAACGAAAGTTCTGAGGGAGTGATGGAAATAAAGACATAGGGAACAGAGGTTTTATTAAAATGTAAGATTGGTAAGGTTAAACAGAATCCGCCTGCTCCAACTGGACAAGAGGTGAGTGACTCTTCTCCCACCTAGAGAGTCCTGCCTGTAAGATCTAGGCCATGAGGCACATTCTGTGCCCCCCAAATCTAGCGCTACAGAAAGCACTAGGAGGGAAACTCCAACATAAGGAAATCAGATGCACACACAAAAACACAGGCAATAGATAACCCCACAGCAGTAAATCCCAAAAAAGAAAATACACACACATTACCACTAAAAGATAACAGGAACTAACAATCACTGGCCATTAATATCTCTTAGTATCAGTGGACTCAATTCGCCTATAAAAAGACAGGCCTATAAAAAAAAAAAAAAAAAAGATCTTTCCTTCTGCTGCATACAAAAAACACACCTCAACTTCAAGAAAGGCACTACCTCAGAGTAAAAGGCTGGGAAGACTTTCCAATCATATGGACTTAAGAAGCAAGCTGGTGTAGCTATACTAACATCTAACAAAATAAACTTCAAACTAAAATCAATCAAAAGAGATTGTGAAGTACATTACATATTCCACACAGGAAAAATGGACCAAGAGGAAGTCTCCATTCTTAACATTCATGCCCCAAATACAAGAGCACCCACATATGCAAAACAAACAATACTTAAGCTTAAATTGCACATCAAATCCCATACACTAAGAGTGAGAGACTTCAACACCCCACTCTCACCAATGGACAGGTCTGCTAGACAGAAACTTAACAGAGAAATAAGGGATCTAACATATTATGACTCATTTGGACTTAATAGATATCTATAGAACATCCCACCCTAAGATAAAAGAATATACCTTTTTCTCAGCACCCCATGGAATTTTCTCTAAAATCAACCACATACTCAGTCACAAAGCAAATCTCAAATATACAAAAAAATGGAATATCCTCCTGTATTTTATAGGAGCACCATGGCTTACAGTTAGATTTGAACAACAACAGAAATTATAGAAATCCTACAATCTCATGGAAACTGAACAATGCTCAATTGAATCACCAATGGGTCAAGGAAGAAATAAAGAAATTAAAGACCTCCTAGAATTTAATGAAAATCAATGTACAACATACCCAAACTTATGGGACACTAGGAAAGCAGTGCTAAGAGGAAAATTCATTGCACTAAATGCCCACATAAGGAATTTGGAGATATCTCACGCTAATTACTTAACAGCACATCTGAAAGCTCTAGAACAAAAAGGAGCAAAATTACCCAGGAGGAGTAGGCACCAAGAAATAATCAAATTGAGGGCTGTAATCAATTAAATAGAAACAAAAAGAACAATATAAAGAATCAATGAAACAAAGAGTTTTTTCTTTGAGAAAATCAACAAGCCATACAATTCCTTATCCAAACTAAACAAAAGGCAGAGAGATAGCATCCAAATTAACAAAATCAGAAATAAAAAGGGAGACATAACAGAAAACAGGAAATCCAGAGAGTTACCAGGTCATACTTCAAAAACCTGTACTCCACAAAATTGGAAAACCTAAAAAAAAAAAAAAAAAAAAAAAAAAAAAAAAGACAATTTTCTGGATAGGTACCACATACCAAAATTGAATCAAGACCAGATAAACAATTTAAATAGACCTATAACACATAAGGGAATATAGTCATTAAAATTCTCCCAACCAAAAAAAGCCCAGGACCAGATGGTTTCAGAGCAGAATTCTACGAGAATTTCAAAGAAAAACTAATACCAATACTCTTCAAATTGTTCCACACAATAGAAACAGAAGGAACATTGCCAAAATGTATGAGGTTACAGTTAGTTACCCTGATACTCAAACCACAAAAAGATGCAACAAAGAAAGAGGATTTCAGACCAATCTTCCTCATGAACATTAATGCTACAATACTGACAAACTGAATCCAAAACACTTCAAAAAACTTATCTACCATAATCAAGTAGGCTTCATCCCAGAGATAGAAGGATGGTTCAACATACAAAAATCTGTCAGTGTAATATACCATATAAACAAACTGAAAGAAAAAAACCACATAATCATCTCATTAGGTGGCTGAAAAGGCCTTTGACAAAATCCAACACCCTTTCATGATAAAGGTCTTGGAGAGATCAGGAATACAGGAAACATACCTAAACATAATAAAGGCAATTTACAGCAAGCCGACAGGCAACATCACATTAAATAGAGAGAAACTCAAAGCCATTCCACTAAAATCAGGAACAAGGCTGTTCACTCTCCCCATATCCATTCAATATAGTACTCAAAGTTCTAGGTAGAGCAATAAGACAACAAAAGGAAATCAAGGGGATACAAACTGGAATGGAAGAAGTCAAACTTTTGTTCTTTGTAGACAACATGATAGTATACTTAAGTGACCCCAAAAATTCTACCAGGGAACTCCTACAGCTGATAAACACCTTCAGTAACGAGGCAGGATACAAGATTAACTTTAAAAAAAAAAATCAGTAGCTCTTCTATATGCAAATGATAAATAGGCCAAGAAAGAAATCAGAGAAACATCACCCTTTACAATAGCCACAAATAATAAAATACCTTGGAGTAACTCTAACTAAGCAAGTGAAAGTCCTGTATGACAAGAACTTGAAGTCCCTGAAGAAAGAAATTGAAGAAGATATCAGAAAATGGAAAGATCTCCCATGCTCATGGATAGGTAGGATTAACATAGTAAAAATGGCAATCTTACCAAAAGCAATCTACAGATTCAATGTAATCCCTAACAAAATCCCAACATAATTCTTCACAGACCTTGAAAGAACAATACACAATTTCATATGCAAAAACAAAAAACACAGGATACATTAAACAATCCTGTAGAAATAGCAACTTCTGGAGGTATCACCATGCCTGACCTCAAGCTCTACTATAGAGCTATAATAATAAAAATAGGTTGTTATTGGCAAAAAAAAAAAAAAAAACCTGACATGCTGACCAACGGAATCGAATTGAAGACCCTGGCAAAAGCATCCTTATCTATCACCAAGCACAAAACTCAAATACACGAGGATCACAGACTTCAACATAAATCTAGTTACACTGAACCTGATAGAAGAGAAGGTAGGAAGTAGCCTAGAACCCATTGGAACAGGGGACCATTTCTTAAATATAACACCAGCAGCACAGTGGCTTGCTTCGTGCTACCTGAGAAATTGGCAATAGTAATGAGATCAGAATTCAGTTCTCTGGACTCCTATCAAAAGCTTCTAACTACCCTGCCCCAGTTATATACAATCTTTCCCGATATTCCCCAACTGATTATGTAAATGGAAGCCAGGAAAGGTACACGCAAATAACTGGCATGGCTAACCACGTCTACCTTTTATTATTATTATTATTATTATTATTATTATTATTATTATTATTATTATTATTATTATTACTATTGCCAGCCACCGTTATTATTAAGCACAGTGAGCACTCCTTCAAAAGTACTAAGGACGAATACTGAGGAGTCTCAGAGGGCAGGAAAGACACTGGCAATTCAACCACCTCCTCTCTTCCAAGCGGCTGCAGCTGGCCCCTGCACACAGAACTTCTCAAGTCCTTCGCGGGGCATCAAACTCCTTCAGGGGGAACTCTGGTTAGCCGCCTGCCATTCTCCCTGTCCCTGGCGAGTTCATGCCTCCAGCCACTACTGAAGATGCAGGCAGAGCAGCCGGCTGCAGCAGTTCCTCCCCTGCAGAGGCACCTTGCCATGCACCGGTCCTCACGTCTCCTCGTCCTCCCCCATCCTCCGCTCTCACCACCCAGCTCAAAAGATGACACCGTCCCGACCCGGCTTCTACGAGCGTCTCCATCAACCTCCGAAATCGAAGCCGGTCAGGACGATCAGCGGACCGCAAGGGCACGTGGGGACTATCTGCTTCCGTGAGGAGCGCAGCGTGCCGGCGGACTGACTCACACATGGACCTGCGGCCGACCTCCGCTGCTCCCACCGCCTAGGGCGGGTACCCCGAATGTGGCCGACCGCCAGTCCGGGTACCGGGCGACCAGCGACACCTGCCTGAGGAGGCCCGCCCAGAGCCCAGAGACACAGCCCCGGTGCCTCATCTTACCTCACTCTACAGCAGCAGCGGAGGCCTCGCTTTACGGCAGTCGCGACGACCGTCGCAAAGCGGCCGTCAAGCGCGCAGCCTCACAGGCTGGCCTGAGTAGTGTCTGGGGTGGCCTGGGGCCGTCCGCGTTTTCTGCCACTTCACTGTCCCACGTTCCTGGAGCCCTGCTGTTTGCCTGGCCTTTAGAAAGCCGCAGGCAGCCAGCCCTTCAGCAGCGCACCGAGGCTGCCTGAGAGTTTAGAAAAACCTCAGCGAGCAAAGCAGAACTGTCTCCCCTGGTGTGCTGGTTCACCAGACAGTGCAGAGTGTGGGCTACATGCAAACTTCGGGTGGATAAGGATTCCTTTTGCTTTGCTTGCTTGCTTGCTGCCCGCTTCGTCCCTACTCCCTCCTTCCCTCCTTCTTCCTATCTTCCCTTCTCTCTCTCCCTCTCTGTCTGTGTCTCTGTCTCCCACCCCCCTGGTGTGTAAACGCATGTACTAAGCAAACAGATTCAGAATAACTCCTTGGATTCTGCTTTGGATACCGTTACTTGCGATTTAGATACCATTGCTTCTGATTGGGGAAAGAGCGAGAAAGATCCTTATGTAGTGACGTATAAGCTTACCAGGTTGAGCTGCCTAATTGGCATCCAGATGCTGTCTTCCTGATTAGAGCTGTAAACAAACAGTTCTGGGACTGGCATCCTTTCCTTTTAAAGATGTAGTTAGAGTTACTCGTTAGTATCAGATGTGGATTTTGATAGGAATTTCTGAAAATTACAAAACCCTAAACAAATTATTGTAGTTTTAAGTCTGCTCCAAAAAATTTACTGAGAGCCCATAGAAAAAGATGAAATAATTTACCCTCCACATCCAGTTCTGTATTATGTAACATCAAGCTGGCATTAAACTCTCCATGTAGTTTAGGATGGCCTTCAACAGGTCCAAGTGCTTCCACATCTCATGTGCTGGGATTACAAGTCTGCACTGCCATGCTTGGCTTAAAGAGAATTTTTCTAAAAACTGTAATGAGATGTGCCTCTTCCAAAAAGTCACTGTTAAGCCTGGCATGCCTATGATTCAAGCATTCCAGACATCAAGTTAGTTGGGTCAGGAGTCAGGCATTGTCTTTTAACAAAAAAAGTTAAAATTGATGCAACCTGTAGTGTTAAGAGATATTTAAAAGAAATGAAGTGTTTATTATGCTAAACAGCATGGAAATTCTAAGTGGGAAGACCTCTCAGGTTTTTATAAGTGAATGCTTTTCAAATGCATAGCTGTTAGTGTTGTAGCTCTGAAGGGAAAAGCTTCCCCAATGCAAGTGTTATAGCTCTGTTCCAGCAGTGGGCGTAAGGTTTCCCCAGCAAAAGTGTTACAACTCTGCTCCAGTGGGGGCTGGGGGGTGGCAGTATTTTCTCAGCAGAAGTGTTACAGCTCTGCTCCTACTCAAGGAGGAATCCTGCCAGTCGGAATATCACAAAGTCACACAGCTCAACAAATCTCACACAAGGGTTATTGGGAGAGAAAAAAGTTAGCTGCACAAGCAGCAGGGAACTGACCAGAATGCAGGGTTTATATAGGGTGTCTTGGGTGGGTAGGGAAGAGCTTTTCAGGGTAGCCTGGGATTGGTGGGATTCTGTGTACTGATCTTTAGCAAGCTCAGGGATTGGTAGGATTCTGTGGCCTGATCTTGGGGCAAGCTGAGGGATTGGTGGGATTCTTCTTCTTGGCCCTGGTCTTGTCGTGGAAGTCAGTGTCAGGGTGTTTTTCCTTGGGCCTTTTACCCTACAATAGCAAATCTTGTCCTCATTAACCTTGAAAAGAGGCAGTTAGAGGACTACCCAGTTTTCTGATTTAAGCTTAAGTTAGATCTCATTGTTTTTTCCCCAATAAGCACAGTCATAACGTGTCATCTACATTTTCAAGTTTCTGTTACTGTAAAGTGGACCAGGATTTAAAGATATATGTCAAAGAGAGAATTTGGATCCCCTCAAAGAAAATTGGCAGTCCTTTTTATTTGGTTATCTTAGATATAAACTGTCAGCAACTTTTGTGGCAATTTACCTCTAAAGATTCCCCCACTTGCAAGTAACTTTATTCTTCTCAACATAAGCTAGAAAAGTAAAAGCCCCATCTACCACTGGAAGTTGGAAAATAACAAGGTAAATACAACCAGTTGCAATGGCCCTGTTTAATAGCTTGAATGTGAAGTGCTCCCTTAAATGCTTCTGTTGGAATACTTTGGTCTCTCTAGCTACTGGCAGTTTTAGAATCTTGGAAAGGTAGGGTTCTAAAACCCTGGAGGAAGTGGGCCATTAGAGGGGACAGGCATTAAAGTTTACAGCTCAGCCGCGCTTTCAGTCTGCTCTCTGCTCCTTGGTCCAGTCTATGTAGATGTGAGTAGACTCAGCCACCTGCCCCTGCGGCCATAAAATCTGCCATGCCCTACCTCCCATGACGGACTTTAACTTCTCCAACTATGAGCCAAAGGGAACACTTATTCCCCTAAGTTACTGCTGTCAGATATTGTCATAGCAACTAGAAAATAGTGCTTCTCAAGCATTTCAGACAGAAACTTTTGAGACTTTAGTACACCATAAAAACGTTTTAATCTGGTTAAACAAATTTAAACTATTGGAAAGGATACAAGGATAAATAAAAATAGCCTCTGTTCGAAGTGAATGAATCATCTTTTGAGAATCATCCAGGTGTGTGTGGATACACATCTCGAACCAGCAAATTTGTGGTATCCTATGCGAACAGTACCAGCCCTAACCACTCACATGCACATACTAAGCATTCATATGCACATACATATACCTAAATAAAAATAACTCTAAAAAAATCTTTAATATCCATCTGGAGAGATAATTTTTCTTAGGGAACATAAATGCACTTTCAAATATGGAAGTCTCAGATTCTTCAGACAATACTGGAAAGTGACAGCATAAGTATAAGTGACCTGGTATACATGCATGTAGACACTCCAATTGGCATATCCCAGCATCTAGTTTCCACAACCTGCCACCCATGCTGACTATATATATATATATATATATATATATATATATATATATATATAAATTGGGAACAGATACACAGGTTCCCAAGGAAATTTTAGGGATGGCAAGAAAGGGAATTCTGGGGTACTGGCTATGTTGTATAATAATCTAAAATTGGGTATGTCAGTGGAAGTCTGAGGAATTCCACCACTAGTTTCACTTCTGGTGGCTATGATAAAATACTCTGGAAACAGCAATTTAGAAGGGAAGGTTTAATTTGTCTTACAGTCCCAGATTACCATCTATCATATTAGGAAGTCAAAGAGGCAAAAGCTTGAGTGAGCTGGTCACATTATATCAAAAACCAGAAGAGATCAAAGAATTAATGTATGAGAGTATTCAGTTACCTCTCTCCTCTTTAGTCCAGGATCCAGCTGGTGAAATGGTGCTGTGCTGTGGAATATTGTTCTGTATGCTGTTAATGTGTTTTGCTGATTGGTTGATAAATAAAATGCTGATTGGCCAGTAGCCAGGCAGGAAGTATAGGCGGGGTGAACAGACTAAAAGAATTCTGGGAAGAGGAAGAACAGAGTTGGGAGTTGCCAGGCAGACACAGAGAAGGCAAGATGACAAAGCAGAACTGAGAAAAGGTACCACGCCACATGGCTAAACACAGATAAGAATTATGGGTTAATTTAAATGTAAGAGCTAGTCAGTAATAAGCCTGAGCTAATGTCCAAGCAGTTATAATTAATGTAAGCCTCTATGTGTTTACTTGGGAGATGTGAGTAGGAGAGATTTGTCCCAACTGCTGGTGAGCTGGGGCACAGGAAAACTTTTACTACATTTGGTGCCCAACGTTTTGGTTCGAGTTTCCACCTGAAACCCAAGAATACTTAATAAGCAATTCTAAACGGAACCAAAAACAGGTTCCTGCTTCATGTCTCATGCAGGCATTGAGATGATGCAGCATTCGGGCTTGATTGCAGCATGGCGGATTCCCGTGGAGTTACACAGAAGTTTCTGCAAGCTGCACAACCTGGTTGTGGTGGGTATAGCTTTTGCTAGTACAAGGGAAAAAAAGGTTTGTGGGCTACATGCTGCTTTAATAGAGGCATAGACTCACTGCTTCTAAGAGTTGATGTTACACGTGGCCCAGAGCTGGAGGTGAATTACTTCCGCCACATTGAAAAGCTGAAATGGGAGAAGTCAGCAGCCAAGGCTGTCGCCATTTTTTGTCCTGGCCAAGCAATTCAGCAGTTTAAAGTTTCTCCTGGTCAGAAAAGGATTATCGATTCAGAGTAAGACAGACTCAGATGGGATAAACCATAAACAGTTTATAGTGTGTGTGTAAAAATGTATGTAGGCTTGTAAGAGAGAGGAAAAGGAATATAGACAGTTATATAAAGAAATAGAAAGTTTTAAAAAAGTGTTTAAAGAGAAAGTAAAAGTAATATAAAAAATAAGCCACGTAAGATGTTATCACACAGAGAGTATGGATCATGTTGTCTTTGGGGTTTTTAACTGCAGAAAGTCATTTGATTGTAAAAGCTGTTGAGTTAAGCCAATATATATATATATATTGTATCTGGACTTCAAAGTTTATGTCTAAGGATATGCTACTTTGGAAAAGAGGTTCTGCTTTTGTTTCCACAGAAGATGAGAACCTGTGGAATGCTTCCAGGCTAATATGTTTTAATCAAGAAAGACCCCAAGAGGCTCAGATGATCTAACATCCCAAAACTGCTTTAAGGCAACTGGCTCAGAGAATATAGCCTCACAGACAATACCAGTCAGGACTTGACCATAATTCTTAATTTTCTCAGGATCCCCATTAGATTGCTAGCTCCCTCAACCAGCAGGAAGTAGTATAAGAAGCTATGCCCAAATTCCTAAAATATTGTTTACAAATGTTTATTTTTATTTAAAGCAGGTTGATTATGAATGTAATCTCTTTCTAAAGAAGGAAAGGGGATAGTATAGATATGATAGGATGAAAGAGTAGATTAATGAACCTTTTAAAGAGCAACAACATATTTAAAAATGTTTCACATTGCTATGATTTTAGTTTATTGATACAAATTTAGAGTTGATTTTGTTATACTATATATATTTTTTCTACTCTTGTTTAAGGTATTATGTTTATGTAACTCATTTAAATTGTAATGGATAATTAAGCAATACAGATTAATAATTAGTCTTCTATGATAGTCAAACTTATGTTAAGTTTCCTAGGTATACACAGATATAATTGTTACGTAGGTAATCTTCAAGCAGTTCAAAAACCTACAGTATATGGCATTTAAAATGTTTTAAAAAATTAGACTTTCTGGACAGTGAGACATGTCTAC